AAAATTTATCATCATTATTATTATTATTATTATTATTATTATTATTAATAATAATAATAATAATAATAATGATGATAAATTTTGCCTGTTCTTGTCTGAAGTAGGTTTGAATTCATCCCTTAGGATAGTTTTAAACACAATGTCTTTACAAAATGAAGAGGAAAAATACTTATATATTTCACTCTGTAGGGAAAACTTTCTATTTATGCTTTGAGTGTTTCGTGCTGTTTATTGAAGTGGCATACTGTCTATATGCACAAACTAAAGCTGACTATCTGTGTCCACGCAGTGAAGCTGGGTCAATGTCCCAAACCGAAGAACATCCCACTGTTTGCTGAAAGCTGTTTCCATGATGACCAGTGTCCTGCCACACAGAAATGTTGCCCAACCACCAGTGGTCATGCATGCAGTGAATCACGTGGTCGGGGAAGCGGTCAAGGTTTTGGCCAGGGGAGTGGTTTTGGCCAGTGGAGCAGTCATGGCCAGGGAAGTGGCCAGGGGAGCGGTCAAGGGACTGGTCAGGGAAGCGGCCATGATCAGGGAAGTGGTCGGGGAAGCGGTCGGAGAAGAGGTCAGGGAAGCGGTCAGGGGACTGGTCGGAGAAGAGGTCAGGGAAGCGGTCAGGGGACTGGTCGGGGAAGCGGTCAGGGGACTGGTCGGGGAAGCGGCCAGGGAAGCGGTCATGGCCAGGGAAGCGGTCAAGGCCAGCAAAGCGGACAGGGGACTGGCCAGGGAAGCGGTCAAGGCCAGGGAAGCGGCCAGGGGAGTGGTCATGGCCAGGGTCGAGGCCAGGGCAGCGGTCAAGGCCAGGGCAGCGGTCAAGGCCAGGGAAGCGGTCAGGCAAGCGGCCACGGTCAGGGTAGCGGCCAGGGTAGCGGTCAAGGTCAGGGTAGCGGTCAAGGCCAGGGAAGCGGTCAAGGCCAGGGAAGCGGCCAGGGAAGAGTTCAAGGGACTGGCCAGGGAAGCGGTCAAGGCCAGGGAGGCGGCCAGGGGAGCGGTCAAGTTCAGGGAAGCGGCCAGGGAAGCGGTCAAGGTCAGGGAAGTGGCCAGGGAAGCGGTCAAGGTCAGGGAAGCGGCCAGAGAAGCGGTCAAGGTCAGGGAAGCGGTCAAGGGACTGGCCAGGGAAGTGGTCAAGGGACTGGTCAGGGAAGCGGTCAGGGATGTGGTCAGGGATGTGATCATTGAAACGGTCATGGGAATTTTGCTTAACACCTACTGGAGATCCTTTCAATTCATTGCTTTATTCATATGGCTTGTTTTCCCTGTTTGCTCAAACAGTTTAGAAAGATTTCTGTCCCCCACCCCCCTCAAATAAAAAGAAAATTGGTGTTTTTGGAATCTTTTGGCTGTTTTCTCACATAACTGCTTTCTGGCATCAGTGCTTTGTGTAAGTTCCTCTCACTGAGACCTGGACATTTAGAAAAGTAATAGCCGATTTTTACGCAAAATATACCACATTATGTCATGGGGACTCAAATGCTAAGAATGACCCTAAAATCTTTTTATATATATATATATAATATAAAAATTTA